CAGGGGATTTCAGCTTTAAAAGTTACAGGATGCACACTATAGGGGCTTAACCCTCTGAAGGATCACTGAAAAATCAACATACAAAAGGCAGATTTATAGGAGAAATGGCATACAAATGCATTAACATGCATGGGGAGAACCACAGAGTGATTATCCCAATGCCCCAATGGGGTACAGAAGCTTGTTTACCATCTTAAAATTATAGAAGAAATGGGGGCTTAGCGCATGACCATAAACAGGTGACGGTGGTAAATTAGGATACAGTGGCCACACAGATTATGAAGCGGAAAAAGCAGGCCTGGCTAGCAAAGGCAGTCTTTTTTTTTTTTTTTTTTTTTTTTTATTATTATTATACTTTAAGTTGTAGGGTACATGTGCATAACGTGCAGGTTTGTTACATATGTATACTTGTGCCATGTTGGTGTGCTGCACCCATCAACTCGTCATTTACATCAGGTATAACTCCCAATGCAATCCCTCCCCCCTCCCCCCTCCCCATGATAGGCCCCGGTGTGTGATGTTCCCCTTCCTGAGTCCAAGTGATCTCATTGTTCAGTTCCCACCTATGAGTGAGAACATGCGGTGTTTGGTTTTCTGTTCTTGTGATAGTTCCCCAACCTAGTAGGGCAGGCCAACATTCAAATCCAGGAAATACAGAGAATGCCACAAAGATACTCCTCGAGAAGAGCAACTCCAAGACACATAATTGCCAGATTCACCAAAGTTGAAATGAAGGAAAAAATCTTAAGGGCAGCCAGAGAGAAAGGTCGGGTTACCCACAAAGGGAAGCCCATCAGACTAACAGCAGATCTCTCGGCAGAAACTCTCCAAGCCAGAAGAGAGTGGGGGCCAATATTCAACATTCTTAAAGAAAAGAATTTTCAACCCAGAATTTCATATCCAGCCAAACTAAGTTTCATAAGTGAAGGAGAAATAAAATCCTTTACAGACAAGCAAATGCTTAGAGATTTTGTCACCACTAGGCCTGCCTTACAAGAGACCCTGAAGGAAGGCAGTCTTTTTATATTGATGAAATCTCACAGGCAGCAGCCCTCAGAGAGAATAGATGGGAAATGTTTCTTTCATAACTTTAAAGGTGTCAGACTCTCAGTTAATCTTTCCTAGAGCCAGACAAACAAGGGCCTCAAAGAAAGCCTGGCTGCATCAATGCTGATTCTCTACAGATGCAAATCTCCCCCATAAAAGACAGCTTTTCAGGGCTACGTCTGTTTGCAGGCCATATGAACAGTCATCTCAAAATACGTCAAAGAAGTATATCTTGAGGTTAAATATTTTTATTTCCATCAACACTATTTAGAAAGAGATTTTAGGGAAAATCCAAGAAAACAAAGGAGACAGAAAACAAGGACACTATAGGAAATTGAAATCTCTGACACCTGCAGCAACAGGAAGTATTAAATGCATCCCATCCCCTAACAGATTAACATAAAACCTCACAGGAAAGGCCTATTCACCTCAGTTCCCATTACCTCATACGTCATGTCTGGCTTTCAAGAAAAAAGTTGCAAGACATATCAAGGGCATTAAAAAAAAAGTCTGAAGAGACAAAGCAAGCATCAGAACTAGACTCGGACAGGACCCAGATTTTGGATTTATCAAACAGGGAATGTAAGATAACTGTAATTATAATTATTATGCTAAGGACTCTAATGGAAGAAGTAGACAAAATGCAAGGACAAATGGGTAATGTAAGTAGAGAGGTAATGCAACAATGAAGTAGTACTACATATCCATTAGAATGGCAAAAATCCAGGACACTGAGAATACCACATGCTGGCAAGGATTTGGAGCAATAAGGATTCTCATTCATTGCTGGTGGGAATGCAAAATGGTGCAGCCACTTTGAAAGAGAGTGTTAACAAAAGACCATGGGATCTGCAGAGGAGAAAAGGAGAGTTTTATTTTCTTTAAAAAAAGAAAAAATCTGTGGATTGGGGAGATACAGCCTCCACTGTAAAAATGAAAGCCTTCCCCAGGGGGTGAGGTTAGAGAATGAGTGATGATAAAGGCAAAACTTGCAGGGTAGGAGAGAGGAGTAAGGGGGGTGAGAACAGAATCTCGATTGGAGGACCTTTAAGTCCCAATTCACCAGTCTCTCTTAATTGGCTGACTCCAGATGGTCAGTCAGTTGGGACCAGGTGGTTTGTTTGAAGTCAGTTGGGGAATTTCCAGCTGTAGTCTATCTCAGCACTGCCAACAAGAACTGGTTTGGCTTAATTGTAGAAAGGGAGGTCCTGTGACATGTTTACAACATTTTTCTGTGAGCAAAGAATACATAACAGCTTCCTCACCCAGACAGGGCCACCTCATTCTGTTTTAACTTTGATCACCTCAGTTAGCCACAGGGAGTCCATTCTAGCTGTTGGCTAGGAACATACTGTAACAGCAGTTCAACAGTTTCTTACAAAATTAAACTTACTTTTAGTACTAGATAAAGCAATCATGCTTTTGGATTTTGATCCCAAAGGAGCTGAAAATGTATGTCCAACTCCAAACCGGCACATAGATGTTTATAGCAATTTTATTCATAATTGCCAAAACTGGGAAGCAACCCAGATGTTGAAGAAAATTCAAATATTTCACCCTAAAATATATTTCCTTGAAGATAGATATTCAGAAGGGTTGAAGGTACAAGAAGAGATGAAAAGCTCTCTTTTGTAGGGGAGATTTGCTTTGTAGAGATCAGCATTGATGCAGCCTGGCTTTCTCTGAGGCCTTCCCTTGTCTGGATCTAAGAATCATAAACTGAGAGTCTGACATCTTTAAGCATCTGAAAGAAATATTTACCATTTATTCTTTCTGAGGACTGCCACCTGTGAGGTTGTGTGTCCATAATGAGTCCACCTTTGCTAGCCAGGCCTTCTTTTCACCCCTTCCCATAACCTATTTTGCCACCATAACCTGTTTCATGATGCTCCAAGCCCCCATTCTTTCCATAATCTCAAGATGGTATACAAGTTTCTGAACCACACTGGGGCTTGGGGTAATCACTCTATGGTTCTCCCTTATGTGCATGTTAATAAATTTGATTCCATTTTTCCTAATAATCTCCTTTTGTGAGTTGACTTTTCAGTGAACCTTCGGAGAGTGGAGGGGAAGCTTTCTTTGGCTCCTACAACGTCCTTTAGCAGGGGAATGAATTAGTTAACTCTGGTACATTGAGACAATGAAATATTATTTAGTGCTAAAAAGAAATGAGTATTAAGCCATGAACAGACATAGAAGAAATGGAAATGCATATTACTAAGTGAAAGAAATCAATCTACAAATGCTACATACTATATGGCCTCAACTGTATGGCATTCTGGAAAAGGCAAAACTGTGGCAACAGTAAAAATATAAGTGATTGCAAGGGGCTGGGGGAAAGGGAGAGATAATAGGCAGAGGACAGAGTATATTTAGGGGAGTGAAACTATTTTCCATGACAATATAATAGTGGATACATGTCATTACAGATTTGTCAGAACCCATAACATATATAACCCCAGAATGATATTTAATGTAAACTATGGACTTTTGGTGATATTGACAAGTGAAAGTCAACAAAAGTTTATTGACAGTAATAAATACACCACTTTGGACCAGGATATTGGTAGTGGGGAGGCTGTGTATGTGTGGGAGTGAAGGGTATATGAGAATTCTCTGTCCTTGTTGTCTGATTTTGCTCTGAACCTAAAACTGCTTTTAAAAAATATCTTTAAAAAAATTTCTTCAGGGAAACATAAAATGATATATTCAGAAACTCAGTCTACATAAAGAAAGCATCAAGAAAAGGTAAATAATATGTAAAGGTAAAAATAAATTCTCTTATGAGACTTCCTGTCAAACAACTTTGTATCAGCCCATTACTTGTTCCCTTTCGCATTTAAAAACATGCTTGTAACAAAGGTGACACAGCATTCCCTGAGGCCGCTTAGAAGTGGGTCCCAGACAGCTGTCCTCACTGTGGCTCAAGTATACTCTTCAAATTACATTTTATGCGTAGGCTTCTTTCTTTTAAGCTGACAAAAACAACATATTGCATGATTATATTATATGAATATGTGTAATTAATGACAGCAGTTTTATAAGGAAGAGATGAACTGGGAAAACTCAGCACAAGCCTTGCCCCTCACCCTCCCCAGACAGAGCACACAGCCCAGGGTCCTGGGGATTGCCCAAGTCACCAGCACTACCTATGAAGCATTTTAGTATTAAGTGTACTTTGTTATAAATGTACATTGCAAACTCCAGTGCAACCACACAAAATATTTTTTAAAGAATTATAATACTGTGAACGGGGTGAGTAATTCCAACCCTGAGGATCTAAAATCAATTTCCATGGCTGAAAAGCCAAAGGGATGGCAGGATTTGGCCACAGCTCAGGATGCCAAGAGCTTTTACTTTTAGATGCCATAGTAGCTGGGCTCCCACTGGGTTCTTGTTACAGATCAAATGAATGACACAGCAGCCTCTGCTTCCCTTTGTAAAATTACGTTTGGCTTTGAAACTCTTAATGACAAGAAATAACCTTCTACAGCAAAATTGAGGGCGTTTAAAGAATTGAGGCAACCCTAGGAAGTAATTTTGAATTATTTTATAAAACGATTTGAAGATGAAAATCACTTTATAATTTTTTGAAAGCTATGCTTATCAATTTTTTGTTTAACAGATCTAATATGTAGCTGTTCTATGTCATGTGAAAATAAGATAACAACATATGTTAACCTGTATTTATGTTTAATAATTAATGTTTCAGTATTTTAACTTATTTAAAATGACTCAGCCATTTTATGATTATCTATTACTTAATTTAACGTAAGATGACTTTAAGATTTTGAATTACTGAAAATAATTTTGAAACTACAACTACAGGTACCTTTCCTGTCTTCCCCAGTCATCCTGGATAGCAAATAGCCATGTCTATTCCCAAGGATGCCTATAAAGGAAGAACTCAAAACTGAACTACATGGAGCTTCAGAATCTAAGAGAAAACTTACCCACAATTCCTAGTTGCTTCAGAGAACAACGGACACCCTGGACCCGCGGTGGGTCCCATGCCTGGTCACTCAGTGCTCCTGGGGGTTGCCAGATGCCCCACTTCTGGTCCCACTTCTGATACCATCTGTTGGGGAATGATTTGCAAATTGGGCAGCCCCCAGAATCGGAATAGATTCAGAGAGACTCTGTGCTGCCACATGCTTGGAAGGGAAAAAGGAAAGTGATGTACAGAAAGCAGAAGTGAGGTACAAAAACAACTGGATTGGTTACAGCTCAGTGTTTGCCTTATTTGAACCTAGTTGGAACAGTTGGCCATATTTCATTGGCTGAAACTAGTTGATTGGTACAAGAGTAGGTTACAGACTGTTTCCATATCTAGTGAAGTTACAGTTCACTGTATACAGAGTAACGTTAAGGCTGAACTTAAAATCCATGAGGACACAGATTCAGGCTAAACTTAATTTAACAAGACTATGAAGTGTTTGCACCAGAAAACAAAGCATATTTTGAGTAGCATTAGGGTAAACAAACGCCTGCAAATTTTACAGTATCTTACAGGAGGAGGTAGGGTACTTACCAGAAGCCCCAGTAGAAGGGGGAATTTGGTGATGTACTTCCCTGGCACTTCCAGCCTAAGAAGCTGAGCTCCCAGAGGATCCCAAAAAGGCCCTTGGAAAGAAAGGACTTTTTTAGAAATACAGAGCACACCCACCAGAATGATAGGATGACAGGGTTTGAGAAATATAGGAATCCATTGCCCAACTTGATATTGATGTGGGAACACTCTGCTCACATGCAAAGCAAGAGACTGAGTGATTCTGGAAACATCACTCAGTCAATGACAGAAGGACAGTGGTGGACGAATACCCAGCTTCTCATCTGCTCAGCGGCAAAACAGTGAGACATGTTCTACAGTGCCTCGCTTGGGTAGGTACATCACACATCCTCATCCTAATGTGTCATGACAAAGACTGAAGTTAAAGCTACACAATTTAAATGATTGGTGAGCAAGAACTATTCAAGGGCATAACACAAAAATTGTTTTGCCTGCTGTAATTGTACACATGATTTAAAAGACTTAAGTTTTCAGGACAAACATTATAGAGGATTTTCATTTCTTCCTAGATATACTTTTCAGCCATAAACTTTAAATAAACAAACAATTTGTTCAAGGAACCTAAAAGCCACTGGCAAAATGCATTACATTTGTGTTTTTTATATTTAATATATTTTCTTTATTAGTTTATGTAAGATATACTACTTCTACTTTCTACTTATAATTGCATATCTTGTTAGAGCTACAGTTAAAAAAGAAAAAATGTAGTAGATACAAGGTAGTCTCCCCTAGCACCTAATCATCATCCAACATATCTGCCTTTTCTTTCCCTCTCCTGAAAGGTTATAGTAATTTGTATGGCCAGCTTTCCTACAAGACAAAGCCTGAGCAAAACTTCATAAGCCAAGATATTTGAGAAGAGCTCAATCCCAGTGAAGCAAGAGTGAAGAGAAAATGCAGAAAGGCCGGGAAGGAGGGAGGGCGAACCCTCGAGCTCTCCTAGGGAGCGGCAAGGCCTCCTCTTCCTCCCGTGCCAATCAGATCCTTCAGAGCTTCCAGTCTTTGCAGCCCTACGGAAGTCTCTCCTAGCGGTGAAGCCAGTGACCGTGCACGACTCACTGCGCAGGCCTCTCTGGCCAAAAAGCGAGACTAGCGCCGCAGCCCTGGAGGGTGAAACAACTGACTCCAGCATGGTGTTTGGCATAGGCCTATCTCCTGTGCTGTGTTCAATGGCACATTTACAACCCTCCTGAAGTTCATCTGTTAGGCACAGTGTATGGGCTCCACTCGGCGTGACCCACTACAAATGTTCAAATTTTTACTTGTTTTGAGATTAGGAAGAAATATGTTAATTTATAATTTAATTAAAATCAGTAACTCATTCTTGAAAATTAATCTGAAGAAGTTCTATGAATTGGGAAAGGGGAGGAAATCTAAATAATTGACCATAAGGAATTAGTTGAGTAAATGATGATGCATCAACTTGAGGGACTCTTACCTCATTTTAAAAGGGTGATTAGTTTAAAATATTGCCATATGCTTTTGACATAATGTTAAATTTAAAAAGCGGAAGATGCAACACCTTCGAGTTGTGATTCAAAATTACATTGGTCAGGAGAGCCAAAGTCACACCACGGTAAGAAACAATATGGTTACATAAATGGATAAAACACACACTGGGGCCTTTTGCGGGTGTATAGTGTGAGGAGGGAGAGGATCAGGAAAAATAACTAATGGGTACTAGGTTTTATACCTGGGTGATAAAATAATCTGTACAACAAATCCCCATGACACAAGTTCACCTATCTAGCAAACCTGCACTTAAACCTCTGAACTTAAAAGTTAAAAAAAAAAAAGAAGAACCAAAAAAATCCCAGCAGCGTAGCACAATAAGCCTTTGTTTATTGCACACATACATGCCAAGTAACCATATGACATGACAGGTATGTTCAATGGCTTCACTATAGTAACCATTGTACTATCTACATGAATCCCATAACCTCATGTTGTAAACCTCAAATATACACAATAACATTTATTTTTAAAAAGAAAAAGGAAGACTGCTGCATGTTCAGGAGGTTCTCCCAGACACTGTCCACATGCGTTGCCCATGATTCTTCCTGTTGGGTTGGAGTCAGGTGGTGAATGGCGCTGCTCCCTTAACCACCATGCTATTCAGTCACTAGAGTTTCTGCCTATTCCTGTGAACACATGACTATCTGCAATCACATAGCATCAGACATGTCAAGGTCAAACATCAGACAAACCAGCATTTAGAGGATAAGCAAAAGAACAGGGGACCCTGCCCCGGAAGAGACTCACAATGCTACTGAGGGAGGGAGGGAGTTTCTGCTCAAGCAGCACAAGCACAACAGACGCCATAAGTCAGCCTGTCCTTGTCCGCTCAGACCCAGTGTGCTTACTGAGACATGCCTGGAGTGCCTGTTTCTGTGCATAGCCCATCGCCCTGACAGCACAACTACAATCTTCGGACTCCATGTCATAGTCTGTCTTGTGCTGTCAGTTTGGATGCCGGTGCTAATATTACTCATGAGAGTCCAAGAAGGTTGAGTCCAAGACAATTGATGATAATCGCCCAGCTTACTACAGCACACTTTGTGGAAATGGGCACTTAACTGAAAATCTCGTACTCCAACCAGAGAGGTCATATTTTCCATTTGTTTTACAACACTTCTTCAGATCCTACGTGGAGGTCTGTTTTCCTAGAAAAGATCATGTTTTCCAGTCATTTAGAACTAACATTCAAAGTCTGTGCACCCTCAGTTATTTCATACAGATAACAGAAAAAAATTCTGAGAATATTATGGGTTATTAAACACTAAAATGTGCTTCTGAAAAAAATTGCAGGATATCTTCTTGTCAAGTTCCTTGGTTCTCTATGGAGCCGGGGATTCTGAATAGTTACTTCTTGAGGTGTTTCCCAAACCTGGGATACTATGATAGGGGCCATAAAATCAATATGCTGAGTTGAAAAAGATTATATGTCAGCAGTTGGTGAAGAAAACGAACCTAAAATATTTTAGGTAAGCATTTATTGTGCACTAAATAAGTGTTGCTGCCTTAGCAAAGGGAAATACCCAGATTGCAAAAATGCAACAAACTTGGAAAAATCTTTAAATATACAGAATATTTAATATATCATTTAATGTGGAAAAAAATGAAGAAAGTCTTTCCTTAAAGGAAATATCAAATTTCTCTAATCACATTCTTATTTAACAACAAGACTGTAGTTAAAAAAAAATAAATTCAAAGGACTAGCACTAAATCCAAACTGTAAAAGAATATTAATACATAAATTAAGTGGCACATATCATGTCATATAGTTTTTTAAAATGATATATAGTGTTTTTAGGCTGGACACAGTGGCTCACACCTATAATCCCAGCACTTTGGGAGGCTGGGGCAGGTAGATCACATGAGGTCAGGAGTTTGAGACCAGCCTGGGTAACATAGCAAGATCTCATCTCTATTTTTAAAATCCAAAAATATTAGCCAGGTATGGTGGTGCGTGCCTGTGGTCTCAGTTACTCAGGAGGCTGAGTTGGGAGAATCACTTGAGCCCAGGACGGGGAGGCTGTAGTGAGTTATGACAGTGCCATTGCACTTCATCTTGGGCAACAGAGCGAGACCCTGTCTCCAGTAAATAAATAAATAAATAAATAACATATGGTGTTTTTAAATTTCTTTATATTCATAAGTAAAATATTGAAGCAATTATTTTTATGTGTGGGTTGTGTTCTAAAAGTTTCCTTGTAGCTTGGCTGTTTGGAAGTCACAATGTATTTTTCCTGAAGAACAATGGTGTTTTTTGAGGTCAGACTATCTTCCAAAAGTTCATTTAACTCAAAATAGTATAGAAAGATAGTACATTTGCAAACAAAATTAAAGTAGACTAAACAAAAGTTAAGTAATAAAGCAGATTGTCAAATTAACATACAGGAAACAGTAGCCTTCAATACAAAAAATAATCAGAAGATATGATGTAGGAGAGAGTCTCATTTCCGGCAAGAAAATAAAATATATAATACTTAAGAATAAGCTTAACAAGAAATTTGCAGAACCTCTGTAAGGAAAATTTGAAAATACTCCTGAAGAAGACTTGAATAAACACAAAGACATCCTTTGCTCTTTGAGATAGGATGATTCAACCCATCGTTAGAATATCAGTTCTCCCTCAGTTGATTTGGAAACTTAACATGATCAAAAATAAATAAATGACAGGCATTTTTATGGAGCTAGACCAGTCAATACTAAAATCAATAGAAAAAATAAAATGCTAGAATAGTTATGACATTGAAGAAGAAAAACTATAAGGAAATGAAATCCTACCAGATATGAAAATAGACTTTGAAGCCTCTATAACTAAGGCAATGTGGTGATGTGGTGCTAGCACCTGAATAGACTGACAGGCCAGTGGAATTGAATACAGAGTCTAGGAACTGATCCAAGAAAAAATGAAAATGTAATGTATGATGATGATGGTGTCTTACATTACTGTGGCAAAAAATTCAAAAACAGCCATTTGAGGACAGGGGCAGTACTTCATGTCTATAATCTCAGCATTTTGGGAGCCTTAGACAGGAGGATCCCTTGAGCCCAGGAGTTCGAGACCAGCCTGGGCAATATAGCAAGACCTTTCCCCGCCAACAGCCTTCCCCATCTCTACAAAAAACAAACAAACAAAATGTTAGTTGGGCATGGTGGTATACAACTATAGTCCTAACAGTTCAGGAGGCTGATGTAGGAGGGTCAGTTGAGCCCCCAGAGTTCAAGCTGCAGTGAGCTATGATTATGTTACTGCACACCAGCCCGGGTGAGAGAGAGCCTGACTCTAAAACAAGCAAAAACAAAGACATTTGAAAAAAAGATAAAATTGGATCTTTAACTTGCACCATACAAAATAAGAAATTCCAACTGACCTGAGAAATAAATGTTAAAAATGAAACCATGTAAGTACTAGAAGAACATATGGAAGCGTTCTTCCATAATCCAGCAGGGATAAGGAAAGGCTCTATTCATTTATCAAATCTAGATGTGATAAAAGATAATAACAATATATTTAATTACATAAATATGTGGTTTTTATATCTTATATGTATTCTATGTTACGTATAATTATGTTAAAAATTAAATGATATTTAAATATATATTTTGCGTATCAGAAATATGTAAATGACGGCAAACTGGGAGAAAATATTTGCAGCATCTATGTAGTAGGTGAAAAACACTGTCTTTTGGTCTTAGGAACCCAGTTAAGGGATCTACTTGAGATTTAAGAAGCAAGAAATAGAGTACCAGGCAAAAACAATAAAATTGCACCAAGGTCTATATGGGATTGACAGCAAGACATTTTCTCTGAGCCCTAGTCATTGTTCTACGCATTCTGAACCAGGTAAGAACTAGAGTCTACATTTGGAAGGAACTGCAAGTGAGCGCCAGGTGACCCAGTTGCAAAAATTAGAGTGAGACATCAGCAATTCCATGAAGATGTCACCACCCAAAGTGTCCATAGAATCCCTGTTATAATAGTAGGATATTGACCAGTGAGTTGGATAAAATTTGATCATGACCTTATGAGAGATGCTGCTGAATAAACCTCAGCATTCTACTTGCCTTAACAACTGCCCTCTGGTTTTCATTCAATCCCCCTCCTCCTCCTACAAGTGCACTGTGCCCTATATCACTCAGTTCAGGCAAATACTCACTCATCTGCCTTTCTGCCTTTCCCAGGCCCAGCCATGTATGGTTATTTAGGTTGTGCAATCAAAAATGAGCTTTAAAAAGTCTTTACTATAGATAAGTAGTACTGATAGATACTTTTCCAGCCTCTCATATGGTCCTGGTTGCCTATATCAAACAGTTCTCTGTAAGAAGACACAAGCAAATCTCCTGGACCTTAGTTTGCTTCCTACAAAAAGATTTCTGTTGCTTAATGTTAAGAAAAATCCTAAGTACTGAACTTATTTGATCATCAAATTGAAGATGTAACCTATTTACAGGGGTAACATTATATTCTGTACTACTAAGAAGAAAAATAGTTATGAATTCAACAATAACATTTCCTTATTATTTTGAAATTTTAATTATATTTATTGAAATGTATCATTTAAGTTTAACTAGACATAGACTTTTATCATATAGTACTTTTATGCATATATTAAAAAGAAAAACATAAATGAAATAAGTTGTTTAAAGTATTTCAAAGACTTCTTTGTATTTCCTACCCAACTATTCAGAATCCTATTTCAACACAAAGTTATCAATGTCTGTGCTTTTCCACACACTGTGCCATTAACAGTATCAGTGATGCAGCACTTAAAATAATTCACAAAACTAGACTCATAGCCATAGGTTACTAGAGGATAAAAGTTGCTTCAGTATAGCAAATTTGCACAAGTACCCCTGAAACTAAAACAAAAGAAAAATCTAAATGTTTATCATCACTTTGGCTAAGCTATCATTTCTTTTTTTTTAAAAAAAAAAAAAAAAGGCTGCTTCAATTAAACTTTCTAGGTTCTCTTCTACTAGATTCCCCCTGAATGTACAATTAACCTTCCTTTCTTATTCTTGGACACATTGACACCTAATACTTTTCCATTTACTTTTAAATCCTATAAACCATTTCTATTGATGAGACAACTCTGCCCATTTTGAAAACATTAGGATTAGGATTAGGCCGTTAATTTTTTCTTTGTTTGTTTGTTTGATTTTGAGATGGAGTTTTACTGTTGTTGCCCAGGCTGGAGTGCAATGACATGATCTTGGCTCAGTGCAACCTCGACCTCCTGAGTTCAAGCGATTTTCCTGCCTCAGCCTCCCTAGTAGCTGGGATTACAGGTTCCCACCACCACACCCAGCTAATTTTTTAATATTTTTTAGTAGAGATGGGGTTTCACTATGTTGGCCAGGTGGGTCTTGAACTCCTGACCTCAGGCGATCCACCCTCCTCTGCCTCCCAAAGTGCTGGGATTACAGGCGTGAGCCACCACGCCCAGCCTAGGTCATTGCCGTTAGTTTTTAATAAAATGTCCACTGGGTAAGTTTTAGCCCATGTCAAGAAGAACATGAAAGTTACCTATTTGAAGAAAGTTTAAAAGGTAAATACCCTCACTGTTTTGCCATTGACATCAAGATAACAATTTTTTTCAATGGCTACCATCTTTCCGAGTTTGTACCAGTGGTTCACTTGGAGTCTGATACTGGTTTTTCTGGTCCTAAGAGTGGTGGTTTCCACACCCCCCTCCCGGATGCTCCAAGTTAGAACAGGTCTTCCCACACTGCTGAAATAATGATAGTGTGTCTGCACTAAATGACAAGAACCCCTGTGGGACCCAGTGCCCATCTGACAGGTGTTCCCAGATCCCTAACCCCATATCTCTGCTGCTTCTGTTTCCTATCTAATCCTGGAAATTTACACGTGAGGAAGAGTAAGTTTTGTTCTGGGCTATTAGGGATTTCTTATGAAGAACAGGTCACTTTCTTTTTCACAATTGTGTGATATCCCCATGGGCTTCAGTTAAACGAAAAGAATTTATGTAGTCATAATTGCCATCGTATTTTCTAATATACTGTTTTATAAAAAGATATGATTTACAAGTAAAAGCCATATTAAGTCTCCAATAACAGTTTCCTAAGATTTCAAATGTCTGCATTCTTATAAACATTAAACTGAACACCTCATCATTTTCTCCCTGATATAATCTAACTTATCTCCCTTTAGGCCATAGAAACTATCCTTTTCTCATTTTCCAAAGGTCTCTATGCTGTGAAACAAGATCATTTATCTCGATCTTTCTCTGCCTTCTCTGCCTTCTGGTCATTTTTAACACCATTAACAGCAACTGCTTCTGCAGAACCACTTTAACTCCTGCTTTCAAGTTTTTCATAAACCCCTCATTTAGTTCCCTTAAATTTTCAGTGGAAGAGAATTTCCAGTTCAGCACTCTGCGGATAACAAACCCTGTGTCCTTGGTTGCCTGCATCTGACCCTGAGTCCCTTCATCTAAAGCAGTACAGTATAGTTGGACTCTACTTGGAACCATATAGCTTAACAGAGAAAGGACAAGGCATGGGACTAGGCAGGACAGGATTCAAACTCCACAGTATTAGCTTTCTACTGCTGTGTAACAAATCACCACAACTTAATAGCTTAAAATAGCACACACTGGTTACCTCACAGTTCCTGTGGATTTAAAGTCCAGACATGGCCTTATCTGGGTCCTCTGTAAGCTGCAATCCAGGTGCCAGCCAGGATTGAATTCTCACCTGCAGGCTTGACTGGGGTAGGATCTAGTTTTAAGCTCACTCAGGTTAGTAGAGTTCATTTCCTTATAGCTATAGGATTTGTGGCAGCTTGTTCTTCAAAGCCTGTGAGCACACCAAGATTCTAGACTGAGTCAGCTGGTAATATGGAGTCTTCTATGACATCATATAATCCTATTACCTTTGTCATATTCTATTGGTTAGATATAAGTCACAGGTCCTACATACACTGAAGAGGAGGGCGCAATAAGAGTATAATGCCAGAAACAGGGATCATGTAGTATCACCTTAGGTTCAATATGTCACCATCACTGTCCTTACATTCTCTTAGATTCCCAGTTTTCTCATCAGTATTATCAGGATATGACAGAAGGATGGTCAGACACCTTTCATGAGTTCAGGCAGCACCATTTCTAATGAGCACTACTATGGTAAGTTTTACTTGTCAACTTGATTAGGCTAAAACCTCAGCTATTCAATCAAACACCCATCTGGATGTTCTGTAAAGGCAATTAATAGACATGATGAAAGTTCATAATAATTTGCCTTTCTGTAAGTGAGCTTGACTTAGAAAACCTGGGTAGCCTGATTCATTGTGTTAAAAGGCCCTAAGAGCAGTGCTGAGACTTTCAGACAGAGAAGAAATTCTGCCTGTAGACAACAGGCTCAACTAATGCCCAGCAGTTCCAGTCTGCCTTTCCCGGTGGCTTTCCCTACAGATTTTAGAGGACATTGGTAATATGGTTTGGCTGTGTTCCCACCCAAATCTCATCTTGAATTGCAGTTCCAATAATCCCCACATGTCATGGGAGGGACCAGGTGAAAATAACTGAATCATGGGGGAGGTTTTCCCCATCCTGGTCTCGTGATAGTGAGTTCTCGCAAGATCTGATGGTTTTATAAGGGGCTTTCCCCTTTGCTCAGTTCTCATTCTTCTCTCTCCTGCCACCTTGTGAAGAAGGAAGTGTTTGCTTCCACTGCTGCCATGACTGTAAGTTTCCTGAGGCCTCTCCAGCCCCGGGGAACTGTGAGTCAATTAAACCACTTTCCTTGATAAATTACCCAATCTTGGGTATGTCCTGATAGCAGCATGAGAATGGACAAATGCAATTGGCTTGACCAGCCAGCCCCCACAATCATATAAGCCAATTACTGGTAATGAATATGTTAATATACATCTCCTACCATGTATGTTTCTCTGGAGAATCCTAACTGATACAGATTTTGATACTGGAAGAGGTTCTAGAGGACTATAACCTTATGGGTGAATTTTCTGCATTGGTTCAGGGGTTTCTGAAATTGGTTCCCTAATATAATTAGATTTAAAGAGACCTATGGATCTATTCCAGTGGTAAAAAGGGCATTGGTAGTTCATGTCACAGTGTAACAATAGAGATATACAAAATATAGCCACTGGATACTCTTAATCAAATACCTATGAAAGGTGAGATTTGGGTTACCATGTAGTTTCTACCTTAGAACATTTTAGTAAAACCAAAGAGTACAATGTGTTTGGCTAGTTATTCCTAATTGTACTAAAGAACATGGGGAAAGAATAAGATAAGCTCAGAGTTTCAAATTCTCAGTTCAATCTCTACATAAATAATCTGAAAGCTTCTTTGTCTGCCCTGAAAGAAACCTTTATCATCTGTAGCCCAGGGGCAAGAATTTCTGAAAACCAAATTCAGAGTCTAACCCTGTGAGTGGCTAAATTAAAATGCAAATTAGATTCTCAACATTGCAGGGTGTCTTTTGTTAAGCAGAGAGCTTCGATTGGGAAGGAAGGGGACCCTGAAAGTTTGAAGGGGGACATATGGGTAGATCACAATGGAGCTGAGTCTTCTTTGTCAGTAGAAGCAGCCTTTCTACCCCTGCCTGAGGAGATTAGCCTGAAGAAACTGTAATGGCTTCCCCTGAGGTAACTACCTTGAAAGATACTGCTGATTCTCCTTAGGACCCGCTGCCAGTACTCCTCTTTGCTTCTAGACCTATAATTAGACTCAACCCCAGCAGGTCCCCAAGGGTGAGGTGGAAAGTGTAATCTGTGAGTTGTGCCATATGAGCAAAGAACTGCACAATGTTTCCAATATATATACAGACAGAAAACCGGGGAATTCATGTGGGAATGCATTGTAAGAATGTAAGACTGTAGTGGAAGAAATATAAGGTTGAATCTGGCTAAATTCCTTGATATGAAACACTAATCAAATATTTGGGTTAGCTTGAGTGGTTAGAAAAGGCTTGGTTTGATTGGTGGGTTCACAGAAACATGAACCTGAAGGTGGCCTATGCCAAATAATGCTGAATGTTAGAACTGTCTTGTAACACTATATAATAAGGTATCCAAAGACTTAAGAAAAGTGGAAATGTTTGAAAGATCATGTAAGAAAGATCTGCTCAACTAACTTGATAGGGTCCATAAGACACAATTTTCACCACAACTTTGAGAAATAGATTTTTGGAGGATGTCCCAGCCTCCTTGAGGAGCTCTCTTGTCTCTTCAGGTCAGAAAGTACAGTGGGAACTGACATCATCAAAATGGGATCTCAGGCTGGCGCAGTGGTTCACACATGTAATATCAGCACTTTGGGAGGTGAGGTGGGCAGATCACTTGAGGTCAGGAGTTTGAGACCAGCCTGGCCAACATGGTGAAACCCCGTCTCTACTAAAAATACAAAAATTAGCCAGGTGTGGTGGCAGGTGCCTATAATCCCCACTCCTCAGGGGGCTGATGAAGGAGAATCTCTTGAACCCAGGAGGCAGAGGTTGCAGTGAGCTGAGATTGCACCACTTCACTCCAGACTAGGTGACAGAGCAAGACTCCATCCCCCGCCTGCCGCCTCCCCCCCACAAAAAAGGGATCTCTAAGTGTAATGGGTATAACAGTATCTCAGGGTGGCAGGGGCCAAGTGGTGACTCTTCATTGCCTCAGACAAGGTGGATGTGGCTACTGTGAAGGATAGCAGAGCCAAGGTAGTAGTAAAAAATTCTGATTCACCAAGACCCATGGGGTTTTCTTGGACATCTTGGATGTCCCTAGGAAAGGAATAGGGCTAGGCACAGAGGCTCACACCTGTAATCCAACCACTTTGGGAGGCCAAGGCGGGTGGATCACTTGAGGTCAGGAGTTTGAGACCAGTCTGGCCAACATGGCGAAACCCCATCTCTACTAAAAATATAAAAATTTTCCAGGTATAGTGGTGGGCACCTGTAATTCCAGCTACTCAGGAGGCTGAGGCGGGAGAATAGCTTGAACCTGGAAGGTGACAGTTGCAATGAGCCAGGGCAGCATCACTGCACTACAGCCTGGACCACAGAGTGAGACTTCATCTCACCAAAACGCAAAGGAAAAGAAAAGGAATACATGGGCACTCTATAAATTAGTACTTGATCTATATTAGCAGAAGAGATCTGTATCTAGTGAACAGAAGTCTAGCATGAATCACCAAAACAGACAGACTAAGTTCCTCAACAAGTTTCCCAACTTGAGCCAGTTTATAGACCCAGAACTCCTTGAATGAAAGGGAGGCTGGGTCCTTTTGAGAAGAACGCCCGCTACACAGTTAAAACTTTCTATTGTTAATCTTTCTCTCTCAGTCTTCCACAAAGGAACTCATGATCTGTTATCAAGATGACTGTGCAATGAGGAAAAGGAAATGATGAAACTTTTGGAGGGTTACTGAACACCAGCTGTGAATTAATACTAATTTCTGGAAACAAAACATGGGTTTGTCCACCAGTCAGTGTAAGAACTTATGGAGGTCAGGTGATCAATGGAGTTTTAGCTTAGATCCATCTTATAGTGACCCAGTGGGTCGGCAAACTCATCCTGCAGTTACTTCTCAAATAACTGAATAGAAATAGTCAGCAACTGGCAGAATTCCCACATTGGTTTACTGACCTCTAAAGTGAGAGCTATTATAGTAAGAAAATACCAAGAGGAAGCCAATAGAACTGCCTCTACTTTGAAAAATAGCAAATTAAAACCAATACCATATTTCTGGATGGACTGCAAACATTAATGCCATCATCAAGATGCAGAGGTAACAATTCCCACCGCACCCTCACTCAACCTGGCTATTTGCCTATGTGGAAAACAGATGGATCTTGGAGAATAACAGTAGATTATCCAGAAACAGAATCAAGTAGACTTAAATTGCAGTTGCTGTTTCAGATGTGATTTAATTGCTTGAGCAAATTAACACATCCCTTGGTACCTGGTGTGCAGTCATCGATCTGTCAAATGGTTTTCTCTTGATATCTGATAATATAGACAAGAAGAAGCAGTTTGTTTAGCTGGAAAGTCCACCAATAAACCTGCACTATTCTGCCTCTAGGGTATATTAACCCTCCAGACTTATATTTCATCCATATAAATTAATTCAGCTAAAATGTAGTCCACAGGGACTTTGATTCCCTTTCCCTTCTACAAGATATCACATTGGCCTATTACAGACAAGTAATTATGGTGATTGGACCTGCGAAGCAGGAAATAGCAACTACTCTAGGCATATTTGTAAGACAATTGCATGTCCAAGGATGAAAAATAAATCTAGAAAAATGCCACAGCCTTCTACCTCAGTGAAATTTCTAGGGGTCCAGTGGTGTAGAGCATGTCAGGATATCCCTTCTAAGGTGAAGGATAAGTTGTTTCATCTGGTTTCTCCTACAAGTCTGCATGAGCACAAGTCTACAAGCTACAAAGAAGCACAGTGCTTATAAGGCCTCTTTAAATTTTGGAGACAACATATTCTTTATTTAGGTATGGTACTCCAGCATTTACTGAGTGACTTGAAAAACTGCTAGTTTTAACTGAGGTGTAGAAAAAGAAAAGGCTCTGAAACAGGTCCAGTTAGCTGTGCAAACTGCTCTGCCACTTGGATCATATGATTCAGTAGATGCAATGGTGTTTGATGTGTCAGCAGCAGAAAGAGATGCTGTTTGAAGACTTTTGCACACACTTATGGGTGAAATACAGTGGATGCCTCATATTTTGGAACAAAGCCCTGAAATCCTCTGTGTATTACTGCTCTCCTTTTGAGAAACAGTTTTTGGCTTGCTCCTAAGCCTAAATAAAATCTGAACACTTAGCTATGTCCAACCAAGTAACCATATGACCAGAGCTTTCTATCACATATTGGATGTTGTCTGTTCTACAAGCCATAAAGTTGGGCATGCACAAAAATATTCCATTATCGTATGTGGAAGTCCTATATATAAAATTGGGCTTCAGCAGGCCCTGGAGGCACAAGTAAGTTTCATCAGGAAGTGAGCCAAATGTTCATGACCCCAATTCTTGCTGCATTACTTACTCTGTCTCCCAGTCTGCACATATGGCCTCATAACAAGTTCCCTACAACTAGTTGACTGAGGAAGACAAAACTTGAGCTTGGTTTAGAGATGGTTCTGTACAATATGCAGACACTACCCA